TGTTCAGTTCACCTGTAGCCCTGTGCAACTGGTGACAGTCACCTTTGAACTGTGCCTGATCCTGGCTTTATTTTGCCAAAACAAAGATCTGAACTATTAAAGGACTTGCCACGACAGACAGTTTAGTAGGTGATTGCCGTGCTCTGAGGAAATCAGCGTGCAATTAATTGATTGCAAAACAGTTAGAACTAAGCTGTGCGAATAAACTAGTTTTGCATTTGGCAAATGATTTCTAAAGCTTTTCAAACAAATTGGAATCAAATCGACTCAGCTGACTTCTTTTTACAGGTCACAGTCTAATTCTGATGTTTACTTGTGACATGTTGACCTTTTGGTGGCTTGACTGGCGACCGGTTTTTCTGACGGAAAATCGTTTGAGCTGATCATGACACGCTGAGGGTGTCTCACTTTCAAGCAGGATAAAGTCACTGTTCCGTGTGACAGCTGACTTGCAGCAGGAGGGAGGCCAGCAGCGTAAAGATGAACAGCCTATATTTACCTGCTGAGGAGTGGTTACAGTACAATATTCTGTGAAGTTCAGAAACTATAAGTACGGTTTAAGTGTTGGCAGAGTGGGGACAAGGATGCAATCTTCACGAGTTACAACCTGCTTTGGGTGTGATCTCACGAGCTGTCTGCTAGTGAAGATCCTCGCTTCAGCGATACCCGTGTTTTACTCGTTTGCTCTAGCAAAACCATAGGGTTTCAGCAGATCACAGAGATAGCAGGAAGATTGTTAATAGAGATCACTTTTCCACCCCAGTTAGCCGTGCAGTAGCGATGTGAATGAATTGCTTTACTGGTAAATTTAGAGGGATGGTCACTTAAGCTGCCGCTGCTGCCAGAAGATAAACCTTTGATATGAGAGACTCCAGAGCAAACATACACTCTGTATAGAGGAGCTAATGATGGAAGTCAAAATTTTGGTTGTAATCAACTTCATGATAGTTTTGGACAGCTCTTAGGCTGTGGGCTCGGTCTTCATAGTATGGTATATTTTTTGTTTGGATTGACAGCACGCTTAAGTTTTAAAGAGCATTCAGTGACATTTTGGAAGCATTTGGTCCAGAACTGTGGCTGACTGTGACTCAGAAATGAGGAAGCAGAGCAGTTGAACAGAGGGGAGGAAAATCAAGACTCTTGAACAGGTTCCTGAAACAAAAAGTTTTTGAACAAGAGGTAAACTTCAGCCAGCTTCATAACTTTGTAAATAACTTTAACTCTTAAATTAGTTTATTTACAGATTTCATGAGTTAGAGGTTTCAATGGGCGTGCCTTTATGCACAGGAAGATAGTGTGTGTTGATTTAGTTTATAAATAACTTTACTAGTCTCTGCATTTTGCAGATAACACCAGGTTTTTTCGCCCCAGACTGCGAGCTGACTGGGCATAATTCAGCTGCAAACCAGAAGCCTTGCCCTCTGCGCAGGCAGAGGTGGGCCTTATTTGTGTCGGCCCAGTGCCAGAATAATGCATTTAACAACACATCCATTTCAGTGCTAGCTCATTCCTAGGTTGTCTCTCTTTGGCCACAGTAGATGTAATGCCTGGATGCTAAAATGAAGTGATAGGCCTGCTGTAACTCATAGGACATTGACTGCCTGCAGTCAAATTCTGGAATAAAAAAAAAAGTGAAATTTCTAAGTTGTTTACTTCTTGCTCAGATTTAACGCTGCTGGTGCTTTGGAGCGTTCTGTTCTTGCCTGTTTTCTCCGCTGAGAAATTCAAGATGTGCAGCCTTAAAATCAGAGTGTGGAAACAAATGCAACATCTGTTTACTTTAACCAACTGACACTGTCTGCAGTATCAACTGTAAAAGATTAATTGACTGAGATATTGGTGAAAACACATTTACAGGTGACAAGCCAGTGAGTTTGTGGTCTTTGGGGAAACCAGAGACAAGGGCTACCGCTGAACTCCAGGGAGGTCTTGTCACCAAGACAGAGATTAAGTGTTGCCTTCGCATCAGGTTTGCCAGTATTCTGTAGTTTGATCCTGAACTTCCAGATGCTATAAAAATTTTATTAATTTTCAGACTACAAGAACACTTTGATTTCTGCACTTCAGGTGTGCAGGAGGTAGAGATTTCTTTACGAGAACTCAGAAGAATCTCACTGATAGAATGTCCCTTGAAGTCTTTTGAGTGCTGTTTACAGTAGGAAGGAGTGGAAAATAATACTTCTGAAACTAGTTGTGGTCATCTTAATGCCAGGTTTGCCTTCTTATAATCTCATTTTGCATTAGGTACTTGCCAAACAGATGTGAATTTCAGCACAGAATGGTAGAAAAACTGGAGTGCTTCAGCTGCAGGAAGAGCTTTAAACAAATGTCTTAGTCTTTGGGTTTTTTTCCTTACTGGCATCTTGCTGCTGTTGTCATTGTAGTGGCTGGTCACTGATGTTCAAAATTAGTTTTCCTTTGTTTTCGTATAGATTCCATAAATTTCAGTATATTTCACAATGAGAATTTATTTGCATCTTTTGAAGTTTTGCTCTTAAACAGGCTGTTTAACTCCTATCTAGAGCCCTGTTAAGTTCAGTTAAAGGTCTTGTTTAAGGTCTTAATTGTTTATCCTGTCTCACAGCAGTACTGTAAATAAAACCAGCTGTCAGGCTCTCATGCTAACTTTCTCTTTTCTTTTACAATACATTTCTTGTTTAGTTTCACCTGTAGTTTTTGAGATTGCCCACACTGTCCCATAATTTTCATAAAGTATCGTTACTCAAAGCACTAGTCTTTTTTGTGCTTTTGTAAATATTAAACAAATGAAAACTACTGGTTATCTTTATAATGAGAAGGTGGTGATTACCTTTTCATTTCTTGTGCTGAAGCATGGTAGTGTTTAATACTGAAGCTTTGGTTTATGCTTTGACTTAGACACTGAGTGTATCTGTCCAGGTATTATGGCAGCATACTGATGCATGTAAGCCTCCAAGTGATACAGAACTAATCTCTGTTGGATTGATGTGACTGAAATGCCAAACCCAACTTTGGTGGGTTAATAGGGATGTGCAAACGATACCAGTAATTTTAAGATTAATTTTTATCATCAAAAGATTGGTATGTGGGTAGAATGGGGAAAAGAGGAGTATGCTTATTTTTTCTTTTAAATGAGTGTCCATGACAGTTGTGCGTTGTGAATGTGCTGTAGGGACTTACACAGACTCTATAATCACATCTGACTGGTCTCTACTAGGCAGAAGCTGAAGAAGATTGTCACTCTGATTTGGTAAGAACCGATGACAATGAAAGATCCGGTGAAGCAAATCTTCAGGTATGTCTCTCATACTAGTGGGTTTTTTTACAAACATAGTACTGCTGTGATTTAAGCTGCATTACTTATGCTCATTTAGTTACCACACGTTTGTTGATCTGACACATGCTTAATCTGCCTGCCCCTCCAAAAGTGAAACAGGTAAATTATGCATCGTGTTTCAAATGTTAAGTTCAGTCTTCAGTTATCATTGTAGATCTCTGTTGGATTGATGTGACTGAAATGCCAAACCCAACTTTGGTGGGTTAATAGGGATGTGCAAACGATACCAGTAATTTTAAGATTAATTTTTATCATCAAAAGATTGGTATGTGGGTAGAATGGGGAAAAGAGGAGTATGCTTATTTTTTCTTTTAAATGAGTGTCCATGACAGTTGTGCGTTGTGAATGTGCTGTAGGGACTTACACAGACTCTATAATCACATCTGACTGGTCTCTACTAGGCAGAAGCTGAAGAAGATTGTCACTCTGATTTGGTAAGAACCGATGACAATGAAAGATCCGGTGAAGCAAATCTTCAGGTATGTCTCTCATACTAGTGGTTTTTTTACAAACATAGTACTGCTGTGATTTAAGCTGCATTACTTACACTCATTTAGTTACCACACGTTTGCTGATCTGACACATGCTTAATCTGCCTGCCCCTCCAAAAGTGAAACAGGTAAATTATGCATGGTGTTTCAAATGTTAAGTTCAATCTTCAGTTATCAGTGTAGTTGAAAAGAAAGTTTGTGGCAGGTTTGGAGTTTGAAGAACTGTAGAAATTGGACAGCTGTTGCTGTGTGGATCAAATTCCAGTTTAAGTTGTCACTCTCTTCTGGAGCAGAAAGTTGATAAAAGCAGTCTGATAGAAAAATGTGTTCTGTTACGATACTAGATTTTGGTGTAGTTGCTCCCCAGAAGTCATGATGATTGCAAGAGACGTGTAAAGTGTAACTTCAAAGATGCTAAAAAAAATGCATGGCAAGAATTACAACTTGTCTTGTTTCACAGAGCATAGTCCTTTCATTTTAAGAGAGAAAGGAGTGTAAGGTCTTATTTATATGTTACATAAATGGCAGCCTTGATTGTCATCAAGCTTAGTATGCTTGTGTGCAAAAAATTAGGTTTTCTAATTTTTAATTTCAAGAGCTAATTGACTTACTTAGAACAAACACCATGTCTAGAAAGAATACTTTTCAATGGAGTCTTAGGTCATAGTCACAGTACTGACAACCACTTATTGAAATGTCATTTTTTCTTCTGACCTGAACAGCCCAGATTAAAGCACTTACATTATTGATTGTCATCAAGCTTAGTATGCTTGTGTACAAAAAATTAGGTTTTCTAAATTTTAATTTCAAGAGCTAATTGACTTGCTTAAGATAAGTCTGCATAAACAAGAACAAACACCATATCTAGAAAGAATATTTTTCAATGGAGTCTTAGGTCATAGTCACGGTACTAACAACCACTTATTGAAATGTCATTTTTTCTTCTGACCTGAACAGCCCAGATTAAAGCACTTACATTATTGAATGAAATTGTACAAGTACTTGTGCAATTAAAAAAATTACTGTAAACCAATTGCTAACTCTTTGTGTCTAAACTCACTGAAACCATTTAAGACTTGGAAATGTAACGTGTCGTCTTGAAATTCCTTTTTGTGCTTGTACTTTATAATTTCTCCTCAGAAGATTCTGTCTGAATATGTGATACTAAATCAGACTTAATTGGATTTTTTTAGGCAGAGCTCCAGATGTTCAGAGCTCAGTGGATGTTTGAGCTTGCCCCAGGTGTGAGTTCTAGTGGGTTGGAACCTCTGCCATGCAGAGCTTCTTCAAGAGGACCTGGAGTAAAGTCTGTAGATGCCAGAGTGAAACAGGAGATAGCAAAAGAAGAAAAGGTACAAAAAAATAGACATATAATTTTGGGGTTTTTTTTGTGTTTTATTATTGCAGTATAATTATCCTAAAAGCTAAATTTAATCTAGAGGAACAACAGAGGTGATTAACCTGTTTTCTCCATACTAAGGTCTTTCCATAATCCTGCACCGATTTTCTATTTTTTATTCTTGGCTTTATTCTGGCACCTTCCCAGTCTGCTTTCTGAAAGACTGTAGGTAAGGGGCAAGCAGCAGGAACATGGGGAGTTTTTAAGTTATGGGTTGTAGCACATGAATATGTCTTCTCACTCTAACTGTGGAACTGTTTTATTCACCTCCTTCACAAGGTACAGTAGGTAAGATGAAAAATAATTCTAAGTCAAATGGCAATGCAGTTGTATTTGAGAGGAATTTAAGAGGTATTCTGTGTAATTTATTGTGCAGGCAAAAGAGCTTTTTCTGAAGGCTGTGGAAGAAGAACAAAATGGGGCCCTTTACGAAGGTAATGAAGAAGTCTACGATGAACACTCTTATTGCAGAGGAATCTAACACTGATTTATTGTGCAAGACTGCATGATGCCAGTGAACTTAAACTGCAGGCTCATAGTAATTTGAGAGCTGAATTATTTGCATAAGCAAACAAACTTGCTATAAAAGGAACCATCATATCACAGTTCTAAGGTTGAGATGAAGCTAAAGTGAGATCAAGGAAAGAATTTCTAGCTTTTAGACAAAACGACAGTGTTTTGAAATCTAGCAACTTAATAAAGTGCTGGATTGTTTCTACATATAGCGTGCTTCTTTATGTGACTTTCGTAACAGTAATTAAGCAAGGCAATATACCATATTTCCTGGGCTTATAGTTTTTTTCATTCCACTTTGAGCAGAACTATTTAACCCATAGAATGGTTTGTTGTTTGTTTGTTTTGGGTTGCTTGTTTGAGGTTTTTTTCAGTTTATACAGCAGGCTAAGATAGCTTCTTTAAGAACTCCTGAAGGGAATGTTTCAATCTGTCAGTCTCATTGTATGAGGTTGGCCATAAATAATTAAGATGCTTAGCTTGCTTGCCCTCTTGCTAGCAGGACTAGCAAAAATGGAAGTTCAAAGTTTTCTTCCTCATATTTAGCTTTCAGAATATGTAGAGTAAGAAGCCCATCCTAACTTCAAGTCCTGTAGGTCCTGAGATACCAGGCAATAACTGATGACTCAATTATTACACCAAGTTTTCTGTTTCTTTCATTAAAAAAAAAGGCACACAGAACGTTTGTGCCATCCGGCTCATCCGTTAGAGGTTTTAGCCACTTTGCTTAAAGTGCAGGTGCAAAATATGGCAGGATATGCAAAACTGAGAGCACTCTGGAAGCTTCTGAACTCAGCCACTTGTTGAATACAAAATTTCTATTTCCACCATGGGAGTTTTCCTTCCCTTACAAGGGATTTCTGGCTGTTGTTCCAGATCTCAACAAACTGACAGAAATATGTATCCCCAATAGGTAATAAAATTAGTTGATTCATTATCTAATTTATTACATGTTTTTATGGGGCAAAATTACTTTAGGCTAAGGTACTTTCTGTGTTATGTAGAGAATTAAATGTGCAGTAAAAAAAGACGTCAGAACTAAATCTGATATGTAATCTACCATTTAGGAAATTGTGCAGTAGATTGTGAAGGTTCTTTCATACCAACAGTTTACAAGTAAATAAAATAATGCGAGGAAAGCCATCTGTTTAAGCTTTGTGTCTATAAAATGAAAGCTATAGCTTCATCTGCTTGAGTGCGCTCCTTCTATGTTAAACATAGCAGTAGAGAAGTTGCATCTAACAGAGTTGCATTCACAAGGGTGTTTTAGGCTTCTGGATTGCATGAGTATGAACACATCCTTTCTCAGTTTAATTTGATTTAAGACTTAAAGAAACAAACCAAAACTGTTTCTACACGTACATCCGTATGAGACCTTAGAGACACGGTCCTACAGCAGACACAGATATATTGCTGAGCACGTGTTGGGACATCTGTTTTCACACCACAGTTTTATCTGGTGACCTGGCTCAGGCCACCAGAATCCCAAGTGACATTTCAGTCTGCTTCTGAAATCTGCTGATACCTGCCGTTTGTGAGACAGTTATGTGCAGTAGCATGTTCCTGTTTAAGTACAGTACAGGCCTTGCTGCAAGATTAAATGCTAAAGTTGAGACTGCTCTCTGTTTAGCTGGCTGCTGGCACTCTTCCTCCTCACCAGCCAAAGGATACTCTTTGATGATCCCTGTCCCTGACATGAACTCAAGGAAATAGAGACACTTATTTATCCCACACTCCGGCTTCTCAGACTCACTAAAGTGTCAAATTCTGAGCTTCAAACTCACTGATGTTTTATTTTGGGTTTTTGTTTTGTTTTTAAGGGTTCAAACTGAGGGAGAGTTGCCCTCTGGCCTTGGTATCACCACGTGAGAATGCAGAGAGGCATAGAAATACATACATGATCTTAATAAAGGCATTAAAACAGGCTGTATGTACATACAATGAATCCACATAAATTAAGAAGGATCTGCAGAGTTCACTCAGAAGACAGACATTCAGCAGCTTAAATACCATCCTTAAATACCTTAAATATCACCATTCCTCCCCACAGGGGGATATCCTTGGGCCTGTTTCTCTCATCAGTGTTTGTAGCATCTTCGGAGTGTGAAAGGCAGAGGTGCTTTTGCTGTGTGCTAGAAGAAGCCCTGTCAGTTTTTCCTTCATGCCCCGTAGTCCTGTGCTTGCTACAGAGCTTTTTGAAAAGGCTGCTTTCCTCCAGTCAGGTTCCTCACCCTCAGATTTACAGTGGCTTGCTTCTGTGCCTTCTCTAGTTTTCAGGGGTTTGCCACAGGAAAATTTACTTGGTGTCTATTGTTGATGTTTAAAAAGTACAATATTTAGTTGACCTTTTCCACCTTTTTAATATTACGGATGTCTGAATGACTGTCCGGGCTACACCAGGTACCTGCATCATTTTTTAAATTCTCTTGTTACATTCTTCGTGGTTACTTACGAATATAATGCCTAAAATCTGCAGCTTGTTGAGAAAACTTTGTAAGTGCTGGGCAACAAATGAAATCAGGACTTTTTAATGTTTTGATGTAAAATATTGTACTCCATAACTGAATTAGTAGTGGTTAAGGTAAATCTGCATCTGAGAGAGCTCTTTATTCTGAAAGAGTACATGAAGTTTGTGGTTTAGAAGATCAGTGCTTACTTGCCTCTCATTGAATTTAAACCGAATCAGTTTAGATTAAATTACTAGGAAAACGCATTTTCCACCTGTTTAGTGCTTTTAGCAGCAGCCATCTCTCTTGAGAAAAAAAGTCTTTGCTTTGATAAGCTAGTATAGGCATCAGACATCTTTAAACATTAAACCTTTATTTTCAGCCATCAAGTTTTATCGTCTGGCCATGCAGCTGGTACCTGACATAGAGTTTAAGATCACCTATACGCGGTCCCCAGACGGTGATGGAGTTGGAAAGAGGTGGTAAGTATGAAAATTTACTAATTAAGTGCATAAGAGTACTGAAACCTGAAATTTTATTTCTAAAGCATGTGAATGCTCTACTGTGACATGCAGTCGTAGGTCTCTAACATTTGGAAAACTTGTCTGCTTTCATTCGAACAGACTGCTTCAGAGAAAGTTTACAGGTGCATTAGTCCAAGGAGGACTTTTCTATACTGTTGTTGAAAGAAGGTCACAGGCTTGTTTAGAGCTGGTTAAACTCAAGTGGAAGGGTTACAAATAGTTGTTACTTAAAAAAAGGAAGAAAGGAAGAAAACATCAGTCACTTTATTACTGTTGACTGTTGACTTCTGATCTTCAGATTTATGAGTTACGCCTTTAGGATCATCTAGAAAACTGGAGATGGCAAAAATATCGATTAGTAAAAGCTTTGTACCATGGAATAAGCATCGTAGTTAAGGATGGGAGTATATTACTCTTCTTGTGCTGCCTCATGCAGCCATATGGGAACATTTCCAATAAGTAGAGCAACACATTTGGAAGCTCGTAGATCGTAATCTGAGTAGTCTAGACTTTGATCGTGGCGAGCATCCAAACACCACTAGCCTCAGCACACCAAATGTGTAGCACCTTAAGGCTGACCTGAGTTGAGGCCAGGATTCAGGTTAGGGCCAAAACTTCTGTAGCTCAGGTAGCATAGTGAGGACGAGCTTGTGACACAGAGCTTCCAAATTCACTGCTTAAAAACATTCCAGAAACAACTATATTGAATGAGGGTAAGACAGCAGATTGATGCCAGGATACGAACGTCCGTTGGTATGTTTTGTCCAGTATCACAGTGTTGGCATTCCCCCTTTTCCAGCGTTGAGGATAACAAAGAGGATGACCAAATGGCTGATCTCCTGTCGGAATTCCAGCAGCAGTTAGCTCTTCAGGAATCTTCAGTCAAACTTTGTCAGCCTGAGGTTGATGTCAGCCAGACCCATATCTCAGGTATGACGTAAGATACACTGTAAGAGTTAAGAGGCACAATAAAGAGAGATTTTTCACTCTAACTTTATTAAAACATTTGTCTATGTCATTCTAAAGCCACCTTTATAAAGAAATGTACACAGTATCTTTTTATTTAATTTATAGTTAGATTGAAGGAAAAAAGATCATCAATGAGCCAAATGGATCTTTTTCTCATACATGATTTTGCCTTTATCGCAGAAGCTTTTCCATGTAATACTGCTACTAAGTAGAATTTTTCAGGATCAGAGTCATAGTTAAAAGCAGCAACTTCTAGAAACTGACTTGCTGAAGTAATTGCATCCCAATTTTCCTTCCAGTTGATGTTTGAAAAAGTGAAATGTAGGTTGGTTTTTTTTTGTTTTGCAAATTTTTATAACAATTCTTAAGTGTGAATAAGAGACAATTGTTCTGTGAAGAATATGCATCTTTGCATTTCCTGGTTTTGTCTGATTCTGTATCAGCTTTTTACAACAAATAATGTTTTCAGGTTCAGCAAGACTATGTGACATAGCTAGAAAGGCTTTTGAAGGTTAATCATTTTCAGTGCTTCAGGTCTAGGATAGTCATCCTGACACTTCCTTATGAGATCTAAATTGTAGAGAGTGTGTATAATCTATGAACTCTCTTAAAAGAATCAGATGCCACTAAAGCGTGTGTGTTTTGCATCCCAAATTGTCAGTTGCTCTTGGAAATCTTGGCCTGATCTCCTCTGTTCTGCTCAAGGAAGGAAAATAAAGCAAATGTAGCAAGCTGTTCAAATCAAAACATAAAGAAAACAGGATTTGTTTTTCATTTAATTTTAACAACTGTGGCGTTGTACACTTGGGAAAGCATCTTTTCATTTTTTGCCAGTAAAGTCAAGATGTTGTAGACATTACTATAAAGTGATCTCAGGAGATGTCTCTTTTGAGCAGCAATCTTAAGTCTCTTTCTAGTTTTATTTTCTGCCTTCCTGCCAGTCCTGTGCTACAGTATCTCGTTTACTGACTCTTTTATAGCAGAGTGAAAACTGTGACAGTCCTGATGTCTGCTTCAGAAGTTAGTAGGCTGGAAGGGATGCCTCTTGGTCATCACAGCAGTACAATAATGGCAGCCCTCAGCAGCCCAAGGAAAACTGAAACAATATGAGGCAATGGATTTGGCTGAATTGGTTTCCTGTATTTATATTTTACATTCGATCGATATTCATAATCTTAGAATACTAGTTAAACCTTAGTACAGGACAGGATGAGACCTCTGGAATGTAACTGCCACACTGAATGTATTTACTTCCCTTCCCTAGTATAGGAGCAATTTATCATAGGAGTGGGTTTTTTTGCCTTTTAGCCAAGTAAGGGTTAGGACCAAGATGGCATTCTTCACAGGAAGTACTATAATATTTGTCCTACACATAAGAGTACTGAAACCTGAAATTTTATTTCTAAAGCATGTGAATGCTCTACTGTGACATGCAGTCGTAGGTCTCTAACATTTGGAAAACTTGTCTGCTTTCATTCGAACAGACTGCTTCAGAGAAAGTTTACAGGTGCATTAGTCCAAGGAGGACTTTTCTATACTGTTGTTGAAAGAAGGTCACAGGCTTGTTTAGAGCTGGTTAAACTCAAGTGGAAGGGTTACAAATAGTTGTTACTTAAAAAAAGGAAGAAAGGAAGAAAACATCAGTCACTTTATTACTGTTGACTGTTGACTTCTGATCTTCAGATTTATGAGTTACGCCTTTAGGATCATCTAGAAAACTGGAGATGGCAAAAATATCGATTAGTAAAAGCTTTGTACCATGGAATAAGCATCGTAGTTAAGGATGGGAGTATATTACTCTTCTTGTGCTGCCTCATGCAGCCATATGGGAACATTTCCAATAAGTAGAGCAACACATTTGGAAGCTCGTAGATCGTAATCTGAGTAGTCTAGACTTTGATCGTGGCGAGCATCCAAACACCACTAGCCTCAGCACACCAAATGTGTAGCACCTTAAGGCTGACCTGAGTTGAGGCCAGGATTCAGGTTAGGGCCAAAACTTCTGTAGCTCAGGTAGCATAGTGAGGACGAGCTTGTGACACAGAGCTTCCAAATTCACTGCTTAAAAACATTCCAGAAACAACTATATTGAATGAGGGTAAGACAGCAGATTGATGCCAGGATACGAACGTCCGTTGGTATGTTTTGTCCAGTATCACAGTGTTGGCATTCCCCCTTTTCCAGCGTTGAGGATAACAAAGAGGATGACCAAATGGCTGATCTCCTGTCGGAATTCCAGCAGCAGTTAGCTCTTCAGGAATCTTCAGTCAAACTTTGTCAGCCTGAGGTTGATGTCAGCCAGACCCATATCTCAGGTATGACATAAGATACACTGTAAGAGTTAAGAGGCACAATATAGAGAGATTTTTCACTCTAACTTTATTAAAACATTTGTCTATGTCATTCTAAAGCCACCTTTATAAAGAAATGTACACAGTATCTTTTTATTTAATTTATAGTTAGATTGAAGGAAAAAAGATCATCAATGAGCCAAATGGATCTTTTTCTCATACATGATTTTGCCTTTATCGCAGAAGCTTTTCCATGTAATACTGCTACTAAGTAGAATTTTTCAGGATCAGAGTCATAGTTAAAAGCAGCAACTTCTAGAAACTGACTTGCTGAAGTAATTGCATCCCAATTTTCCTTCCAGTTGATGTTTGAAAAAGTGAAATGTAGGTTGGTTTTTTTTTGTTTTGCAAATTTTTATAACAATTCTTAAGTGTGAATAAGAGACAATTGTTCTGTGAAGAATATGCATCTTTGCATTTCCTGGTTTTGTCTGATTCTGTATCAGCTTTTTACAACAAATAATGTTTTCAGGTTCAGCAAGACTATGTGACATAGCTAGAAAGGCTTTTGAAGGTTAATCATTTTCAGTGCTTCAGGTCTAGGATAGTCATCCTGACACTTCCTTATGAGATCTAAATTGTAGAGAGTGTGTATAATCTATGAACTCTCTTAAAAGAATCAGATGCCACTAAAGCGTGTGTGTTTTGCATCCCAAATTGTCAGTTGCTCTTGGAAATCTTGGCCTGATCTCCTCTGTTCTGCTCAAGGAAGGAAAATAAAGCAAATGTAGCAAGCTGTTCAAATCAAAACATAAAGAAAACAGGATTTGTTTTTCATTTAATTTTAACAACTGTGGCGTTGTACACTTGGGAAAGCATCTTTTCATTTTTTGCCAGTAAAGTCAAGATGTTGTAGACATTACTATAAAGTGATCTCAGGAGATGTCTCTTTTGAGCAGCAATCTTAAGTCTCTTTCTAGTTTTATTTTCTGCCTTCCTGCCAGTCCTGTGCTACAGTATCTCGTTTACTGACTCTTTTATAGCAGAGTGAAAACTGTGACAGTCCTGATGTCTGCTTCAGAAGTTAGTAGGCTGGAAGGGATGCCTCTTGGTCATCACAGCAGTACAATAATGGCAGCCCTCAGCAGCCCAAGGAAAACTGAAACAATATGAGGCAATGGATTTGGCTGAATTGGTTTCCTGTATTTATATTTTACATTCGATCGATATTCATAATCTTAGAATACTAGTTAAACCTTAGTACAGGACAGGATGAGACCTCTGGAATGTAACTGCCACACTGAATGTATTTACTTCCCTTCCCTAGTATAGGAGCAATTTATCATAGGAGTGGGTTTTTTTGCCTTTTAGCCAAGTAAGGGTTAGGACCAAGATGGCATTCTTCACAGGAAGTACTATAATATTTGTCCTACACGCGTGCTCAGTATCTGAAGCAAAGTGTTTTAACAATCCCTAGTTCACTGGAAACTTAGAAACATGGATAGTGAGATAGATAATCGAAGGCTTTGGCGACTGGTGACTGTCAGAATGGAAGATGTGTACCTGTTAGCACTAGTAGCAGATTTTTAAGGCTTTGTATCTCCTGTTCTCTAAGACACTAGGAGTTCACATACCAAAGCACTCCTAAATTGCCAGACTGTTTTGTACCTTGTAGCAATAAACACATCTGCACAACTTTTGTTTGTGTTTAATTTAATGGTTGGAAATAAATACAGACAATATAACAAATTTATGACTTCTCAATAATAAAACATAGAATTAAGTCAGATTCGTGAAACGAGATGTGTGTTAAATGAATGCAGAAACTGGTGACACATATGTACTTTTTATCATGTTAGTATTCTGAAATGTGAAACTGAAGTTTCATCAAATTTTATAGCAAAAACAGTCTCATTGGATTTGTGTGAGTGCAGTAACACTATTTTTTAACTAAAAATCAGAATCCTGTTAAATTGCAACCTCTACCATGGCATTTACAGCTAGTTACTGTTTAATGTACCTTTGTGCCACTCGACTATTTTTTCCGTTTGAACCCAAAGCAGTTTTACTAACTGAACTCATCAAGTGTTAGGTGCATGTAGTGATACAGGTCAAGCCATAGGCTCTGGAAAGGAGCAGTAGTTGAAAATAAATGAAGTGTAATTCCTGATGCTGTAAGATTAGTAAACAAGATTATACACAACTGAAACAACAGAGAAAACTTCGGGAGGCAGAAAGTTATTAGAAAGAGTTTTGGCTTAATTTCCCAGGGCCTTCTCACTGAATTTTTAATGCTAGGAAAATTACTACATGATCCTGCGGAGCTTTGATGAGGATTCTGTCATTATCTCATCACTGTCGTTCACCACAGCAGTGCTGTGTGATACCATTTTCAATCACTGCACCTGTACCACAAAATACAGAGTGATGTCGTACCGGTTTCGTAGTGGATAGGTTGTTCTTAGGACCTCCTACCCAACACTGAACCTCACCTGAGCTTCTGTAGCTTGTCATGCACAGGTAACGGTACACTCTAGGTCAGTTTGAAGAAAATACTGCTTTGCAGGCACTGTGGATGTGCAATGTGTATGTGGAATTTTTGGTATTACACCTCACAGCTGTGGATATTTGCGGTCTAAAACTGTGTTTTATCCTGTCAGGCACTTTTATCCTAATGCGTGTTCAATACGATTTTTGTTCTTCCTCTATGTGGGAAATAAGCTAAGTTTTGCTTCAGCTTATTAATGTATCATTGTTAGTGTGATAATACTAACAAAGAAGCCTTAGTAATAGTAGAGTCTAATAAATTGTATCCAATTAATCCCCAAAAATGCCCTTGGTCTATCAAAGGATCCTTGTTCGCAGAGCGTTATCTAGGTGAAGAGAAACAAACTGGAACATGGCCTTCAACACAAAAACCCAAAGGGTAGGGGAGTATCAATAAGGCCAAAGAAACCAGTCTGGTAAATCTGCCAAGTAGATAGTAGCAGAGACTTTGAAATAATGTGTAGCATAATCAACTAAGCAAAGGCGTGTTTAGGAGGATGATTTCGGAGAATAGGTGTGTGTGTGCCTTATATGGGAAAAAGTGCAAAATAAACCTGTAATAGGTCAAGCGGTCGGGAAGAATGTGAGCTCCAACTTCTCAGCCAATGAGAAGAGAGACAGGGACTCAAGCGGCCGGGATAAAGGTATTTTATACCTGAAAGCTAAAAGATCATCGTGCATCTATTTTTGGTGCACCCGATTCAGCGCTGTTTCATATTAATAAATTATTTTTTTTTAACCTTTGCTTCGGTGACTTTGTCCTCTTTAAATTCTAAGATGTGAGTCGGTGTTTCTCACACTCTATGTGACTTTTTTCTAATACATAGAGACTTTTAAAATTAAAGATTTTTTTGTTTGTTTGTTTCCTGGCAGCTGACTAAAATATGAAAAAGTAGGATTCTTTATGGAAAGTCAGAACTTCAGTAGTGGTCAAACCTGGAGTAAGGTTGTAAGCTCTTGATTTACAGGTTATCATCTAACAAGGGTTTCTTTTCTCTTGGCAGTGTTGCCTATGGAAGTGCTCATGTACATTTTCCGATGGGTGGTTTCGAGTGACTTGGACCTAAGATCATTAGAGCAATTAGCTCTTGTTTGTCGAGGATTTTACATTTGCGCCAGGTATTGTAGATAACTTATCTAGAGTTAGGCTTCTTTCTGCTCTAAGGAATTAAAAAGAGCTTTATGCTTGAACATGTGTAAACAGTATGTAGAGGTGGATAATAAATCCATAGAGCAAGATTGCCTGTGTTAGAAAAGTGATTGGTTTTGGGTTTTTTTTTTTGCTTTAGGCTGCTAAATTGTAGATGTAGGACTGTGTAGTACTTTTTCTTCCCATGGCAGTTTTCATGTTATGCTCCTCACAGTGCCAGTCAGCTTTTTAATACACCGCTAAACAGTATGTTAGATAGAGGACTTCACTGTAGTAAAAAATGTTGCTGAAAGTCTAACTTGCTCTACCTTGTTCGAAAGTCAGAGTTGCAAAGTCTCCAAAATAAAGTCTCTCGTGCTGTCATCCTTGGATGGCCACAGAGAAGTGCCAGGGGGCTGCAACGTTGTTGTTCTGTACTTGGCTGAAGCTGGTATTGTGTTCCTGAATTTTACTGGGAGGAGGAAATGGCTTTGAAGTGCTCCAGCATTAAGTAAATTAGTCAATCATTTCAAAGTATGAGCTATTGTTATTCAAGAAAGTTTCTTTCAGTTGCATCCAAACTAAATAATGGAGTGTGTTACTTCTGTATAGCAAAGCTGAGTAAGGTTTGCAGGAGAGTTACGGGGTTTGCTTTTCTCTCATTTTCACTAGAGATCCTGAAATCTGGCATCAAGTCTGTCTGAAAATATGGGGCAGGAGCTGCAATAAACTTGTTCCATATTCCTCTTGGAGGGAAATGTTTCTGGAAAGGCCTCGTGTTCGATTTGATGGTAAGATGTGCTTTTGGAAACGGGCATTATTTTTTTTTTTACTTCATGGAACCATGGCAGCAGCAATCCCATGGGTTTTATGTTTGTGACATTGGTGTTACATCTAATATGAATTTGTTTGGGCTTTTGAATCTGTAGAATGTCTGTAAAGAGAAGGGAAGGGTGCAAGGGACAAAAATAAAAACTTTGATCTATTTAAATTACAAAAATAAACTCAAAAGCTACAGATTATTTGTTTTTTAATCTTAAATATTTTATGTACTTAATTTTTGTTTATATACTTTCATCTTCCTTTCCTGCAGGTGTTTATATCAGCAAGACAAAATACATACGCCAAGGAGAACAATCTCTTGATGGTTTCTATAGAGCGTGGCACCAAGTGGAATATTACAGGTAGAACTGTAGTACAATGAGTGAGTGAAATGTTCCTCTCTCTCTTAAGTTCTTTAAATCCAGCCCTTCGCATCACAAACATTAAGTATTCTTTTCCTCTGTGGAACTACTACAGTGTGTAAAGCTATGCATATTTTTTGAGAATAGGTCTTAAGAAATAGGATTTATAATGATAATTAAAGATGGGCTAGAAATGCATTTCATCCCCAGTTCTACCATTTCACATGGATAAAACTTAGACAATAGCAACACTAATGCTCATCCACAGATTTCTTTCCCCAAATCACTTCTGCTTTACATTTGCATTTTAGCAAAGGGAAAACAAGTGATTGTACAAGAATTCTCTTTTAATTTATTTGTAAACAATTGTCAATAATCAAGAGGCTGGGCTTTTTCAATTTGCTGTAAATAGCTTGCCATCTATTTCCTTGGCCTGTGTTTCTGCTGTTCTTCGTCCTGCGTTTCCTGGCATTTATTGTTCCATTCTGCTGTCCCTCCTGAGGCTGGAAACCGTTAAGAGAAATCATTGAATCTCATGGCTATTTCTATAGTCTCACAAACATCAGCACACTGTCTGAGTACTGTACAAATTGATCAGATCCCAGAACCTGAAAAAAAGGTCAATACAACATTGTCCGTTCTGTACTGATAGTGTAATTAAGATTTTGTTGCATTTTTTTCTCAGTGCTAGGAATGGAGAAACTTACATGAGTTCAGTTTTGATTCCAGAGTAGCCTTCTTGCTTTGATTAGAGGTGACAAAACTCCTGAACTTCTGCACTCCTTCAAAACTCTTCATAACTTGATTTTTTAATCTCAAAACTTGCTTTTGATTTCTGATCTCTTTCTTTTTCTGTTATAGTATGTGTGAAGAAATATGTTTTCAAATCCTATTACTTATTAAGGTGTCTATCCTTCTGAGAAACATCCTGTGTTTAAAAAAAAAACACCAAACAAACAGAAACAGAATATGTTTTTTAGGTTTGCGTTGTGTTATTATATTTTTGCAGGTATTTGAGATTCTTTCCAGATGGTCAAGTTATGATGCTAACAACTCCTGAAGATCCTCAGTCCATAGTTCCTCGCTTACGGACTAAAAATACAAGGTTATTGAAGTGAAATATTTGGCTCTACAGTTTTCACCTTGCTTTTACCTGGCATTTTTTATTTACTTTTGTCTTATATTCTATATCCTGGTTTAGCAAAGCAAGATTTAAAATACAGTGTTATTTATGTTGTGTTATAGATGTTTATAGCTCTCTTTTGAGAACTACAAAAAAAGGTGGGTCTTTATGCAAAGATACCTTTCATTTTAAGGTCCTGATATTGTAATTAGTTTTCCTTTGTGGGTTATGTGATTTTAAACTGTGAAAGGAAGTAGATGGAAGGATACATGCTATTAGCTTGGTGGTTTTAGAATCCATTTAAAGATACTATTTTGTTATTGACTGCTTTCTCACACGTCCTTGACTGTTTGAAGTAAAGTGGAGATTCTGGTGCGATATGACTAAATTATTGTTTGATTTCTTTTTGAAGTTTGCAGAAACTTTTTAAAAATATAGAAAATCATTTGTGGCTTCAGAACAGGTTTGAGCTGTTCGCCAGAAGTCTGAAAATATTTAGCAGTAGGCTAGGCAAAACTGACTAACTTATCTTTACTGTCCAACCTGGGAAAATTAAAAACAACCTTCCAAAATGCTTTCATCTTTTCATATAATCAATGAGCAAATGCAAATTTAGTAAAAAAAAAGTTTCCTTGATTATAGTATATAGTCAGTCATCTTTTCATTTTTCATTCTCTTCGTTCTTTTGAGACAAAGAGTATCTTTATGTCCTTGACACTATCCTCCTCTTAACTTTCCAGAACGGATGCAATCTTGCTTGGCCATTATCGCCTTTCCCAGGAAACGGACAATCAAACCAAAGTATTTGCTGTAATCATGAAGAAAAAGGAAGAGGTAGGTAGCAAAACAGAATAGAGGAAAAATAGTTTAAAGAGGGGTCTTTTTAGTAAGTTTTTTCTCAGACTGAATATAAGACACCTGAAGATTTGCATTTCACCAGAGAATTAAAAAATTTATTTCATGTTTTAAATTATTAAAAAATAAAATAGAAATAAGCATGGTGGTTTATCTTACATTTTCCCCCCCAAAATATGTGATAAGCTTTTTATTAAGAGAGATAAATATCTGGTTCATGTTTGAGCAACAGTTCTCCCCCTTAGGCTTAATTGCCTTGTGTGCTGCTATTAAGTAGTTTGTTAACGTTGTTAACAGACGGGAAGGATGAAGAGGTCATTTTCTGATACCAGTTTTTGAGTGTGTGCAGTTATGTTCCACAGCATTAAATAAAACTACATAAGCCGTATTTGTTAATTGAATTATTTGGTCAACTTACATCACAGAAAATTCAGGTGAACAAAGTGTCTGTCAAGAGAAACTTGTGAAGAGTTAGAAGTGTTACAGCACTTCACAGCGAGTTTGCATAGTTTGGGTGGTGTCCTCCACACTTAACCTTACTTTCTGTGAAAACTTCTTCCATAATTAACATCTAAATTGATGTATTTTCAAGGAATACCGGTACTTACTTTTAAATATGAGAGTTTAATGAGAGTATGTGAGTCTGTCCTCACAGTTAGGCCTCAGCAGAAACAGTTGCACCATGTGTTCTTTGTTGGTCATGAAACTTCCTTTTCTCTTTGTGCAGAAACCAATTGACTACCACAAATACAGGTATTTCCGCCGTGTTCCTGTGCAAGAAACAGATCACAGCTTTCATGTAGGACTCCAGTTGTGCTCCAGTGGGCGCCAGAGGTTCAACAAACTTGTCTGGATACATCATTCTTGTCACATAACTTACAAGTGAGTAAATGGGGAATAAGATCAAAGAAGGATGCTTAACTACAGAAACACAGGTGACATTAATTTGTCCAGTACTAAGCACCGAAGATATAAAGACTGAGACTTATGAGGCCAGTACTAAGCACCGAAGATATAAAGACTGTGAGACTTTAACAAAATGTCCTGAAAACAGTAGCTGGTCCTGATTTGATAGATCATAATGAACTTTTACTTTAAGAAATCCCAAGATTTTAGTAACTTTTTATAATGATATGGGAAATTTCCTAAGTAGTAGAACAGCAGTATTTTAGTCATTTAAAGGGTTTATGCACTGTGTTTGAATGATTTCAGAACTGCCTCAGGGTTGAATGGCTTAGTGCAGTGCTAGTATAGGGGTATGGAAAACATATTTTCATTAAGGTATATTTCTTCTCCTGTGTGGCTCTACGTGCTAGAGATGTCTGCAGCCATCGTGTGAGAGCTGTAGCGTTTACCAATTATAATCCAGCAGAGTGAAATATGGGCATGGACCAGCTGCTCTGATCACAGACCAAACAAGAGCTGTGGCCACTCTTCTTGCACCCGTTTCTAAATTACTGGCAAGTTGCCTGTCCAGATGTCTGATGTTGGCATTTAGTGGATTTAGGCCTTGTCTTGCAGTTTTCTTGATCTCTGTATCCAGCGTTTTTACAGGGACATAGCTCAGCTATTGAGCTGTAAGTATGTCAAATCTACAAAGTAAATTACTGGTGGTTGGGACTACAGGTAACTTCCATAAACAGAAAAATTGCTTTTACAAAAACTAGTATTTTCATACCTAATTTATGAAGAAGTGCCAATATGACAGGCAATTTTTTCAGCATGAAGTTTCTGTACTGCTCAGGCTCTGCCGTACCTCTCAATACGGTGGTATCCTTTTGAAAGTAGAATGAAGAGGTGTATAAAGCACAGCTAGGAGAATGTATGTGTTTTCTCACTGATGCTCAGAAATAATTAGGTTTCTTCTTCTTAAAGTTTAGCAAACACAAGGTTTTGCTGTCACTCTATGTTCTGAGTTCTGGCTTCTAAGAGAAACAAAAGGGGATTTTTCACTTCTGTATTAATATGGTGACTTGAGTTACATTCTGTGCTGTTTCAAGCCCTGGGGTTAATAATAAAAATGAAAGAGAAAAGTGGTTTCTTTGATATATTAAAATAGAAGTGTATTCTATATAGTGGGATTCGACCAACATTCAAGTGCTTTCAGAACGAGGCAGTAGGAAGGACACTTACGTTCCAGCTGTAGTTTGGTGCACACGGTGTGCCATGGAGCATGATTGATTTATCGAGGGGCTTAAGCAGCAACTTGTGTCTAATTTAACTTGTACAATACTCTTTGCAGATCCACTGGTGAGACAGCTGTCACTACCTTCGACATTGACAAAATGTACACCCCTTTGTTCTTTGCACGAGTGAAGAGTTTTACTGCATTTTCAGAAAAGCCGCTCTAAGAAACACCTTTTCCTCTCACAACTCTTGCATGAATAAAAGGTTGTAGCTAATGAGCACTTAAGTTATAAATGTGTATATATTTGGAACGTTTTAAAATCCTGGGGAATTTTTTGAAGGCAGTATGTTCTATTTGATTATGAATGGCTGGGATTTTGAGATCAAGCTTATGAACATTAAACACTTTTACTTTGTGACAAGAATTTGATAACAAAGTTTTGAATGATTGTTTTGTTGAGGTTGTTTTTTTTTTAAAAAAAAACAGATTTTATAAATCAATCTGCTTGAAATGTGAGTCTTCATCTGCCTGGACACTGGTTTGTCCAAAAGAAATTGTTCTAGGGAAATCTTGCTGTCCGTGGGACAGCGTGTGTGGTCTCTGGTGAAGGCTTGAAATGTGAAGAGGAGAAAGTTGTCTTATATCTGTTAAACTTGTGTGACTTAAAAGAACTTCAAATAAATGTTTTCTTTAAATTAAGCTTATTTTGTTTGCCTCTAAGATCTGGCATTTTGTCAACATCAACCTTAATTAAAAGCAATCAAGGGCAAGCAAGCGTGAAGTGTAGAATGTAACGGCGGAGGTCCATCCCCACCAATGCAGTGATGTCAGTTGGCCATAAATGGAGTTAGATCTTGAAAGAAGTTGAGTGGAGCCTGCCTTCTCCATGTGGTGGGCATGAAGGGGAGAGGGATGTGAGTCCTTCTCTTGGACTGTAGGGTGAGTTTGTGAGGTGTGTGGCTCTGCCTGAGAAGTGTCATAGCGCGATGGTGAAACACAAGCAGGGCTGACTGGAACACGACTTGTAATGTGTTACAACCCTTCCTCTAACCTTGCTACAGATGCTGTAAACCCCTTGAGCATTTGTTGTACTACGATCCATTCTGAGGCTGCTGTAGATGTTGGGGTGCTGCTGTGTGCTGCTACTCATGAAGTGTCCCCTGGGGTTTGGTGCAGGTGCTGTACGCTGCTTCTCCCGCATATATCGCTTGGGGGTGTAGTGCAGACACTGTAATGCTGCTTATTATATATGTATCTTGGATTCCGAAAGGACTGAAGCTTTTTAGTGTAGTTTTTAAAAGCCTTTTTGCATAATTTACCTTCGAACATCTCGTTTCAAAATACTGACCTGGACTTGAGGACTAAAATGTGAAAGCTGCGGAAAGAACTATACTTGTTCCATAATTTATGAAGTGTATCTTTGCAAGGAGCTACATGATTAAAAATACATCAATAAATCATGATTTTGAACATGAAATCCCTTGCAATTTCTTCTTTTGCCAAGAAATCATTCTTTTCGTGCAGATAAAGGTGATTAGCTAGGAGCTACTACGTGTAAAATAAATGCTAGGAAAGGCTGTAAAGTAGAATTTTATTATACTACTTACAGGTTATCTGAGAAAAGTAGAGAAGCTTTCAGGTGCATGAGCTCTGAATAAGGATGTGTATATCTGAAAGTTGGGGCTTTTTCTAACTAGTCTTAGAGTCTTACTGCTCTGCCTATAGCCCTTTTGTTGGGCTATCTCCTTAGGCTGCAGTTGTGCTAATTGCTTCGTACGTACAACGGAACCTTTATTAAGGAGTGGGTTTTGTTCTCATTGCTGAAGTTAAAAAAAAAGAGGTTTGCTTAGAGTATCCGCTTCATGTTTTGAAATACTGCCAAGTTTGTAAACAGGGAAGGATGTTCGTTATCTGCGCTTCTGTTGAGGGCAAAGATAAAGATCTGAATCTGCCTGCTGAGAAATATCAAATGTTTTGGTCACGAGAATCAGAAGATTATACCAATTATTTGGTTAGGTATACTTGGGTCCAGTAACCAAGTTGGGTGTAATAGAAGAGCCTTTCAGTTCAAAGCTCTTCTCCTACCAAGATTTACCTGCTGCTTCTGAGCTTTTGTTTTCTCTTGCCTTGGCCGTGTGTTTGAAATATACTCTGGGTGCAAAGGAAAAACTAGCTAATGTCCTGGTATAAACTGAGATGTTGACTCCAGAAGTCTCAGGCAATGCTTACTTTAAGATTATATGAAATATTCCTTCACCAGGAAAATTATGTGAGCCTTCTATTGGCAAGACTGAGCTGTAATTAATATCACTTAACATTATGCATTTAATGATATAAGGAAGTCGAGCTAGTTTTGTCTTTTGAAATGGTTTATCAGCAGATAGTGTCTGTTCACATGCAGCTATTAAAATAGTACTTGTTTCAGCAAAGAAATGGGTGACTGGTTGCTCTTCCTTCTTTTTTCTAGTCGTTTTCAATAGTCCAAGGCTTTAAATGTTATGCTGATTTGACTCAGTCTCATTAGAGATTAGCAGCAGTGAAACCTTTGTGTGTAGCACTGGGCTGTAGATAGGGGGAGGAGCTCAGTGCTTGGAGCAAAGACTCTGAGCTTTCCAAGGGGTAAGTTCAACTCCTGATTCACTCGGGAACTGCTGGTCAGAATTTCAAAACCGTGTGGTGCTTACACGAGGTTTTTGGCTTTAAGTAAGAAAACAATGGAGTCCATTTTGATTTTTTTAAGCCAAGAAAATTCCTTTGGAATGTGTGCCAGTGCATTGGGAAACTTTTTTCAATGTTAAAGTGGCTGGACTATTGAGATGCTTTTCCGGTTTGACTTTTCTGCTGTCCAAGATGTGAAAAATATTAAAGCCTATAGACATTTGCAAAATAGCTTGGATTTCAAAAACTATTATTACATGTGTTATTTAGCATTAAAAGCACTTGAACATAAATCAAAGACTTCCATCTGATACTCAGGCTGGATTCAAGCTTTGTCCTTTATGCAAAGACTAGCAGCTTTCTTAGTAAAATGACTTGGGTAATTGTTTGCTTTAAAGGAACAGTTTCTGCTTTGCCTTACCTCTGTCTTGTCCAGAGTATAGTTCCTCAGTCCTAAAGTAATTCTTAAAACCACAAGTCCTGGATAATGTTGGCTGAAACAAAGGATTTGGAAGAGAAACTAGGGTCTGTTATTAAATGGAACTTTTGGGGATGCTCTCAGCTGGAACTGGCTCTGGTAGCTTAGCCTGTTTGAAAGGGTCCTGGTGCACCATCCTGACGTGTGCCTGTCCTTCAAGGCAGTGACAGACGGGTGTTAAAATTACAGTATAGTGTGATCTTATGGAACACATATTCACACAATCATAGAAGGGTTAGAGTTGGAAGGGACCTTAAAGATCATCGAGTTCCAACCCCCCTGCCCTGGGCAGGGACACCTCCCACCAGACCAGGTTGCTCCAAGCCCCATCCAGCCTGGCCTTGACCCCCTCCAGGGATGGGGCAGCCACAGCTTCTCTGGGCAACCTGTTCCAGTGCCTCACCACACTCATGAAAAAATTTCCTCCCCAAGTCCCATTTAAACCTACTCTTTTTTCAGTATAAAATCACTGCCTCTCATACAGGCCTTGGCAAAATGTCTTTCTCCATCTTTTTAATAAGCCCCCTTCATATATTGACAGGCTGCAATAAGATGTCTCCAAAACCCGGTCTTCTCCAGGCTGAACAACCCCAGCTCTCTCAGCCTGTCCTCACAGCAGAGGTGCTCCATCCCTCTGGTCATCTCTGTCGCCTTCCCCTGGACCCGTTCCAACAGGTCCATGTCCTTCCTGCGCTGAGGACTCCAGAGCTGGACACAGGACTCCAGGTGGGGTCTCACCAGAGCAGAGCAGAGGGGCAGAATCACCTCCCCGTGACCTGCTAGTCACACTTCTCTTGATGCAGCCCAGGATGGGGTTGGCTCTTGGGGCTGTCAGTGCACACTGCTGGCTGGCGTCAAGCTTCTCGTCCATCCATATTCAGAGTGCAAGTAGAAGGGCTGCCAGTGCACACTGCCAGCTCGTGTCAAGCTTCTCATCCATCCATATTCAGAGTACAAGTAGAAAAAAAATCATGAAACATGACTGCTTCTGAAGACAAAATTCCTGCATTTTTTAGGACTGAGCGCCTTCCTACCTTGGCAACTGCAGGTATTCTGACATCTTTTGAAGGTATCTGTAGCACATTTATTAATTCACTCTCAGAATGCTCTGTGAGAAATAGCTGGGTATGATGCCGAGCTAAGAAAAGTAAAACTCGTAAATTCTGCCAAATTAAATTATTCTTTAATGTGGAAAGCCAAGATGAGCAGACAGTTTTTCTGCACATTTTATTTCTGAATGGATGGATTTTCCCTTGAGAAGATACGTACAAGCACTGTGACCCCTACATGTTCCCACGCTACACTTACATCCAAAGTAAATTTCTTGTCATTAATTCTACTTCCATAATGGTAAGAGGTTCCATTTATTGTAGAACAGCTTTAACCAGGAAGGCTGAAAGTCTTCCCAGAAACCCAGTGAAACTGGTAACTGTGGGCATGAAGGGAGCACCTCAGCCAGGGGAGAGGTGAACCCCTGAGCTGAAAGCGTGTGTGCCTTCTGCGCGCATCTCCCTCAGGCTTTGGGGTTGCATCACCTGCTGGCTTTGGGAAGCAAAAAAAAAGCAAGTCCTTCTCATGTTTTTAAGAAGATACGGCCAGGGTGTCTCACTGCAGAGGGGACTTCAGGAAGCTCCTTCCTACACTGCTAAGGAATTGGGTTTAGGTCCAGTAATTCACACTTCAGTGTTTATTAACTTGGGTTGGCCAATTGAGATATGTGTCTAGGGATGGTAATTTTTATCAGCTCTTGGTTGCACATCTGGAGAAAAAAAAAACCAAACTACAAAATATTGGTCCTTTTTCTCCTCTTTTCCCTAAAGCCCAATGTCTTTGCCTCCGGACTTGAAATGTGGTCACAGGAAGGGCTGACATTAATTTTAAGACAAGTGGGAGAGCAGATGCCTCAGGGCTGGTAGGGAGCAGGATTCAGTGGCTTAGTGTAGAGGAGAAGGCACAACTCTCTTCATACTATAAAGTAAATTTGATCATAGAATAGAATCATAGAATCGTCCAGGTTGGAAGGGACCTTAAAGATCATCTAGTCCAACCATCAACCTAACTCTGACTAAATATGAAAAAACCAAACCACTAAACCATATTCCTGAGGACCATGTCAGCCCGTCTTTTGAACACCTTCAGGGATGGTGCCTCAACCACTTCCCTGGGCAGCCCATTCCAATGCTGGATAAAATAGACATGTATGGTAGACACGTATGAAAGCAATAACCAGTTGCAATCAGTTTTCATTAAGCGAATATGTATCGGGGGTATTTTTGGGGTTGTTTTTTTCCTAGCTGGTCTATCCCAGTGGCTGTGGCGTCTTCTCCGAGAGCAGCAACGCTGGGTGTCAGAACGTAGGCAGAGGTTAATCCTTTTGCCACCGTGTGTGATGTGACTCGTGGAACGAAGGTGCTGGGTCCTGGGCTACCTGATGTCACCCCCATCCCAGCTGTGCTAGAAGCTGCTGAGCAGAGACTGTATTTAGTTTCCCCCACTGATTTTTGGGGGATTCCCGAGGAAAAGATTGTTCCTGTTAGCCAACCTTCCAGGAAGCCCTTTGAAATTCAGGGCCCTTTCCACAGCTTCTGTGTACTTCGGTTTCAGTACAAATCAATGAAAAGGTCTTTAATTTGGTTTTGGATAATGTGACATCTGCCTTAAATGACAAAGGCGAATGCAGGGGGTTGGTTCGGTGCTGCCTGGAAATTTAATCACATGGAGAAGAAAATATTGAGTACCCTTCAACTCACCTTGAGCACACACATTAGTCATTGACAGCGTCTAGACAGATGGTGATCTGGAAAGTAAAGTCTGGGAAAAATAAACTTACAGATATTAAAGTCAGCTGCATTTCCCAGTGGTAATAAAGCGGGAAGATTTGAGGGGGGGGATAGTGTTTAACTTTCATCGCAGCCGACAAAACAGTTGCCAGCAGTTCTGTTTGGAACCTGCTCCCTCTTTAAGTGTGCCTTTTTAAACGGTTCACATCAGAAGGCCACCAAAGTCTGTAGAACCTGAAAAACTCCCACAAAAAGTAATCTGATGGTAAGGTGAATATTTGTCCGGGTACGTGCAACGTAGTGAGTCAAGTTTTTCTTCTTTCCTCTTGAAGGACTCTAAATTGGAGTCTTTCATGAGACTGAAACGTGCAGTGGGTTGTCAGCACGTGGTTAGTGTTGTTCACAGGAATAGAAGAGAGCGATGGGGCACGGCGTTGATCAGCTGGTGGTCTCTGAGCTTCAGCACAGCGGCATTGCCCATCATCATGTGCCATCTCATCAGGCCTGGCAGATGGCTTGCTATGGAACAATTATAACCTAAAAAAGGTTAAACTTGTGGCA